GCCCTGCGGGGTCGAGCGTTCTTCCGCAGGCAACCGGGCCCGATACGGGGGGGGGGGGGGTCCCCGCATGGCACACACACACCCCGCTCCTGCCCACCCCCCCGCTTCGCATCGCCCTGACGACGGCTCTCGCACCTCTCCATCCCTCCTTATCGCCGAGCATTCGCACCCTCTCAGCGGGGACGGTGTCAGCCCTCCCCTGCCACCCCGACCCCGCTGCACCCATCCGGGGGGCTGCACTAGGGGGCTGGGAACCCCCCTCCCTGCCCACAGTCCCCCCCCCTCCAGCGCCGATCGGGGACAGCGGCTGTCACGTGCTGCTCAAGAGCATCCAAGGACGCACGCTTCCCCAGCCGCCTTGCCTGACCGAGCGGGTCCCCGGCACCTCGCCGCCTTCAAAAGGATGGTCCTGCTTTCCAGCAGCAGCAGAGGATGGAGGCGGCAGTGCCCCCAGCCCCTTCCCGAGCCCCCCTCCTCCTGCCCCAGCCCACCAGCTCCTTTGGGTACCAAGGTGGGATCTTGGTTTTCAGCTCCTCAACGCCAAATGGAGCCCGGGATGCTGACGCTTACCCAGCTGGAGAAGCACACCGCCCAAGAGACCACCCAGACGCCCTGGGGATGGGCACCGGGGAGGCACGCTCACAGCCCTACGCTGGGATCCCCTGACCGGCTCCCCCAGCAAACCAGTGGGTGACGTCCCCCGGGGAGGGGACGAGCCAGCCACCCTGCCGGACCCACGCCTGGCCAAGGCCGCCCGGCTGAAGGAAAATAGGTCAGCCCCAGCAGCTCGCAGCGCCGGTGTCTGATCGCGAGGCCGGTGGGGAATTGCACGCACGGCTGAGCATCGCCTCCCCACACGCACGGCCGACTGGCAGCCGCGGCGGCTAACCGGCCCCCGGCTCTCCCCAGCTGCCACCCGCCCCGCCACCGGCCCCCGTGCCCTCCTGTCCCCGTTTCCAGAGACGGCAGGAACGCAGCAGGGAGATGTTTTACAGACCCCTCCTCGGGTCTCCCCAACCTGCCAACCCTGCGCTCTCAGCGCCGACCAGGTTTTCCTCCCAAGTCCTGGCCGCTGAAGGCACGTGTGCGGTGGAGACCGCAGCTCGCGGTTAAAAGAAGCGTTTCTCTCCCCCACATTTGTGGGGAAATGCTTGAAAACAATCCACAGACGCCAGAAGAAGCAGAGCACAAACAGACGAGGTATTTTTAAACCCACTTGATTTTTCCCAGCCAAGTTCAGGGGGGTTTCAAGGCTCAACGTGTGGTTTGGAAATAGGGTCAACATCGGGGAGCTGCAGCGGGGACACGAACCCCAAATCCCCCCCCGGTGCGGGAGCTCACGCGAAGCTGGGGGATGCCTCATAAAGAAAAACAAGTAATCAACAGGCTTCGTCATCCAAGCAGATCCAGGAAAAATAAAAGCACGCTGTGTGCCAGGAGGCAAGAATACAAGATGCGGAGGTGGAGTTGAACAGCATCCCAAAGGGAGAGGAGGGAAAGCTGCCGCCACATAGAGACGGTGCCACCGCGGGTCTCCCCGGGATGGCGATTGCCAAGGCTGGGAAGACCCTCACCTGGGCCTGGGCATCCAGTTCCTCCCGTCCCGAGAGCAGAGACGTAAGGCAACGGGGGACTCGGTGAAGCTGGTGGTACCCAGCACCTCGGGCACACTCGCTGAAGCGGGACCCTTCCTGCAGACGCTCCGCGAGAAGGACGCGGCCGCGGCAGAGCGGGTTTCCAAATGAACTAGCGCTGCACCTCGGCTCGCGGTGGGGATAAACGCCGATCCCACAGCCAAGGGACGATGGTGAAGAGCCCGGGAAGGCTGCCCTGCCCAGCGGACATCCATGCCCTGGGGTCAGAGAGAGGATCCCAACCTGACCCCCCAACCCCAGGCGCTTGTCCCCATCCCCGTCCTCCCACGGGGATGGGCTGAAGGAGCACGAGGCCCCGAGCCTGTGGACCTCTCCTCCCCGCCGAGCGGAGACGCGATCTGCTCTGACACATCCCGCTCACATCAGCGGAGGCGGGATATGGCGGGGATCTCTGAGGACAAGGCCACCGGCGTGGCATATGGAGGCCAGCAGGGAAGGAGAGCAGGCAGCCAGCACCACGAAACAAGCAGGGCAGCGACCGCAGCCTGCGCCAGGGGTGGGGGGGACACCTGTTCCAGGGATCCAGCCTGCAGAGCCGGTGCATGGGATGCGGGGAGAGCTGCCTGCCCCCCCCCACAACAGCTCAGTGGGGGCTGCAGCCCCCCACTGCAAGTTTGGACCCACAGCCCCCCGCCCCCGAGAGCATCCGCCTGTCCTCTGGTGGGGGGCAACCTCGGGGGGGGGGGCCGGGAACAGAGCCCTCGCCCCCTCCCCCAGCTGGAAAGCAGCATCTGGGCTTTCAGCGCGATTCCTGCGTTTTAAACCCGATTTTCCAGATGGATGGAGGGCGACGCGCAGGTCAAGTGACATGCCTCAAGGTCACGCGGGGCCAGCGGAGGAGCAGGATTAGCTGTGAGGGGTGGCTCAGCACCTCATTCACGGCAAGACGGTGACTTCAAACCCCCATCCCCGGGGACAAGGGGTGTCCCGCGGGACCGCCAACACCGTCCCCACGCAGGCAAGCAGCTGCCCTGGCACCCCCAGGGGACCACACATGCCCAGGGTGCTGCCCCACAGCAGCCCCCCACCTCCCGCGGTGGGTCCCCACTCCCCGCGATGACACAGATGGGACGGTGCCCGGCTGGGTGACGGCTCAGCAAGCGTATGTCGGTGCTCAGAGAGGCACAGAGATGGAGCGTGCAAGAAAATGACTTCTTTGTGGGCATCCCAGTGTCCCCACTCCTGCCTGGGTGTCCCCAGCACCCCCTCCCTCTAAACGCCACCGGTCCAGCGAAGAGCATCCCCACGCGCCACACGGCAGCCGCCTCGTGGGAGCCATCATCTCCCAGCAACGACCAGCAGCTACCTGCGCGCTCCCCGCGAGCTCCCTCCACGCGCCGCAGGGCCGAGCGAGCGGAGCAGCTGCGGCAGGAGGTTGGAGCCGAAATCACTCCCAGGCGAGAATTCCTGCACCCGGAGAGCACTGCCGGGGGTGCTGCGCCCCTCAACCCAGCGCATCCAGACCCACATCGCGCCGGTACCCACGGGCAGGCTGCTCGCATCGCCCTTCCCGCGGAGCGGCGCGTACCACCCCGATGCCTTCGCAGCCCTCCGACTGGTAACTGGGATGCAGGCAGTGCTCTGAGCTGCCCGCCAGCAGCTCCTGAATCACGCTGTTCCTGGCTCAGGCAGCCCTCCCACCAACGCCAGCCTCTCCATGGTGAAGCAAGAGGAAGGGAGTTGTTTTTCCAAAGGCCAGCTGGTCGCCCAGGGCCCGCCGCTCGGGAGATGCCTACCGCAGGGGAAGGGAGAGGGAAGAACTCCTCCGTCGGCACGGCACGGGGCTGGACCCACTGCTCGCCCATCTGCAGGGCTTCTCTTCCAGCCTGAAGCCACGACCTCCAAGACGGAGGACTGGAGGTGAATGGGAGCT